TCGATTCTTGGAGCTAAATCTGTCCAGTTTCACTGCTGATGAACTCGGTCTCGAACCAGTTAAACAGCCATCCGGTGTTTCGATCACTCTGAACTGTCTAGCGGGCTCAATTTACAGATCAGTCATTATTATTGTTATTTGCCCCTTGCGTTCCTAATGGAACATGTGAGTTCAGTGGCACGTCTCCATTTCACTCTCTCCTCTGCAGTCTTTTCAACTTCGCTCCACCATTGCCCACAAGTTTTCATTTCTTCCTCACACCATCTCCTCCATGTCACCTTCGCCTCGCACGCCCAATTCATTTTTTCCCATTCTGCTTCCACTCGATGGCCTAGCTTGACTGGGCTTGATGCGTGATGTCCCCAAACACTCTTCTCAGTGTATGTCCAATCCAATCCATCTCCACTTTCCTTTTCTGCATATTTGTTAGACAACAGGTTGTTGGTTGGTTCGTTGCCAGTCAGAGTGAGTTCCTTGTTGCTGATTCTTATTTATTTGGCCATCTGATCTCCAGTGTCAGTATCGAGTGAGCGTAGACTACAGGTGTTGATGTGATGTATGTGTGTAGTTTGTTGGAGATGCTTTACGTGACGCGACAAGTCTCTCGATCATCACACGGAAGCACTGACTTAACTAACATTAGTGTTGAAAATCCGGATCTTGTTCACGCTTTATGCTGAGTGCAGTAGATCTCCACACTCATTTCAGATTGAACGCTGGTCTTGCTGTTTTTCCAATCCTGGCTTTGACATCCTCAGCTGTGCCGCTGCCGTTTGTTGTTGCGACGATACTGCATACGTAGGTAGATGAAAGAAACAACTTCCTCCTTTCTATTTCTCCCATTGATGATGATTGCTGCTTGTTGTTGTTGTTGAATATCTTCATCACTTCTGTCTTCTCTATGTTCACCTGAAAGAAGGAAGTCCCGTTTTCGCTGCCCTGCCTCTTCTGTCAAGTTGTTAGTTTTCGCCTGTAGATCTTCGAGTTTGTGCGACAAAACATTAGACATAAATTGTCATCGGTGAAATTCAAATCTTCTTATGGGGTCTTTTCGCGTGTCCAGCTAGCGTATGTCCATCTTCTCACTCCTCACAGTTCATTGCACATATCAGTCGACGAAAATCAGGAAGATGATCGGTGATAGTGACGGCAACCATGTCTTACTCCTGCTTAACCAGATCAGTCATAGTGGCTTCTAACCACTCAAGTTTTCCAGTAGTATATAACCACTTTGAAGGCCTAGATCTTTCCCTTGATTATTCCGTCCAAAAACACTACAAAATTACAAGTATCATGGGGATTTAAGATGAAGGAGACAAACAAACACACACACATGTTAACAGGTCAACAACCTTGACAGTTTCGTCCGGTCTGACAGTTATGCATAATGGACATTTTATCAGTAGTCATTAAAATCGATATTTATAAAATTTTGAATTCACAGTGAGTCAATGACAAGATGTGGGATATAACAGATAAATTCGTTTATCGATCGATTAACCGATCGATCAGTTAGAGAATATACATCTATGTTTATTATTTTTTCCCATGTGTGTGTGTGTGTTTACTGTATGTGTCTTTATATGCAGATTACAGCAGTGGTTATTCCTTTGACCTAAATACATCAGGTTACTTGCTTATTTCAACGCAAGTGTAGGAAAATATTTTTAGAAAATAACGGAAGAGAAGAAAATGACACGATTTACGTATCAATATCGATTGAAATGATTATTGAAAAGCTACTGTTTTGTATTTACAGTCAACCAAAGATTGATCAAATTATCAGTATTTGCGAGGGAATTAACCAATTTAAAATATTATTATTTTTCCCCGGGGTTCCTACTCGAACATAGGGCTTCAGTAGCACGTCTCCATTCCACTCTATTCTCTGCAATCTTTTCAACCTGACTCCACCACTGCCCACAAGCTCTCATTTGTCCTTCACATCATCTCAATGTCACCCTTTCCTCAGACGCCCAACTCGTCGTTTCACCTTTCAAAATCATTCGACGGTCTGGCCTGGCCTGGCACCTGATGTCCACAGTCGGACTTCTCAGTGAATGCACAGTACAATCAATCTCCACTCACTTCCCCTCCATACTCGTCGGGTCATAGGTTCTTGCTTCGTCGGTTCGTCGGTTCGTTGCCAGCCAGTGTCAGTTCCTTATTGCTCATTCTTATTATTCTGGCCATGTGATGTTCAGTGTCAGTGTCAGTGTGAGTATCGAGTGAGCGTAGGTGGCATCTGTTGATCAATGTCTATAGTTTGATGGAGATGGTTTTCGTGACACGTCAAGTTTGTTAACCATGTAGGAAGGAGGACTGACTTACTTGAGTGAATTGTTGTTGAAAATCGGGATGTTGTTCACGCTTTATGCTGAGTGTAGTGTAGTGGAGTAGATCTCCACATTGATTATTTCAGATTAATACAGGAAGGCCTATCTTGCTGTCTTTCCGACGCTGGTTTTGATATCTTCATCTGTGCCGCCACCACGTTTAGTTGAAACGATGGTGCCTAGGTGATGGGTGAAAGAGACTACTTCCTCTACGTTTCCCCAGTTAAAAATAACGTCGCCCATTACTTGTCCATTGATTTAGTTTGATAGTTGTAATTTGTTAATTCTTGTCGAATTTGGAACGAATTAGCTGGTCTCTGTTGGAATATGGACTCTTATGAGGATGCTAAGATACATTCAGAGGCCATATCCTGACAGATTAATCCAGATTGATCAACAACGGGGAAAAACAAGTTTCAATTATCAAATATTAGTCTGCCAAACTACTGCTGCTATCTCAGATAGTCAAAATAGTAATCAATATGATACTCCCCCTGACTAGGCAGCCAGTGTGAATACGATCGAGGGGTAGTAAAATGTCACGAATTCACATGGTAGTCGGGCACAACCCCGCTTGATGGCTGAGGTGAAATAAAAATGCAGTGAGTAGTCGGACGTCGTAGTTCATGTGGTAGAGCACCGGGGCGGTAACTCGGTGGTCACTGGTTCGAATCCGGACGCGATCCAGATTCCCATCTCATCTCCAATTACCACCCAATACAAATACTAATCTGCAAAACTACGGCTGCTATCCAGTTAAATCGAAAAGAAACTGGGGATTAGTTTTGTTTTAGTGTAATATTTCTCAGTGTGTAGACATTAACATCCACTCACCATGTCAAAATTTAGTGGCAAACATTTTGCAAATTCATTGAGTGTCATGAATTGGTGAGTATATATGCTCATTTGGGATTTCATTTGCCTGTAGGAACTTCGAAACATCCATAATGAATTCCCTGCCTTAATGATAAATTACGGTTAAGAAGGTGGAATGTGAAGTTTTACACTATCTGACCTGAGACTCATTGGCTGATATTATCGATTTTTATTGTTGGCGGGAAAACAAAATTCTGAGTAAGAAGTTCATTGAGATTAAAAGAGGATGGATAGTAGCGAATTTTAGCCTTGGTTAACTGATTAGAATCAAATCACATGTACATTCCATAGTAACAATGATGCAGGTAAGATACATTTATGGCTTACTAAAATATTCATGTTGGATAAGGTGAATAGCGATATGTTTATTCGACAGTAATGAAATCCATCAGAAGTGATCACTAGTCATGATCTTAAAAGGGAACTTGGTTAATCAGTTGTACAAGTGAAGTGACTTATCTCAGAAGACTGCATTCTATAACGTGGTCACTTTCATCATTTCAAAGAGACTGAATTCGAAACGCCAAGTGAATTTTGATGTAAGTATACATATTCTTTGGTGCTAGAAGAAACTATTTTGTTTCTAGATGCAGTGACATGCAGAGACGGTGTGAAACGAATGTTATTCACTAAGATTTTCCTTCACAGGTGTTTATCATCTGCCAGACACCGATTACAACCTCTCAAATAGTGTACTAATCTTGCTGTACTCATAAATACGCTTCAGAAGAGTAGTAATAACCAGTGGGCATAAGTTTTGCATTGATTGTTAGTCATTCTTTCAACTTGACCGATCGACTTTCTACTTCACTTCACTGAGAGGGTATATACTTCCTGAGTGTTAGTGTGGCGTGGAGCATAGGTTTGAACCCCACTTCACCTACCAAGATTTGGGCAACCAGACGGTATTACACACCTCATATATTAGGTATCGTTTATTCTCTGCTGCATGAAGTTCTACTTGTTTACTGAGTGGATCTCCTTACAGATGTACTTCCTGAAAAGGGTAGGCACTATTCATCGACCATTTACAGCTTCAAATTAACTTAATCCCCTGCAACCTGACGCTCATTTAGTTGAAGTTCTTCTTCACTCGTAGTTCAGTATGTTTGATTAAATTGGTTAGGTATGTGAAATCGTGGCATTTAGTTCAGGTAACTGACCTCCCAACTGAGATATTATTCTGTTATTGCTTGTAATTCCCTGTTGTTGATTGGTGTGAATTGATCAATTTCCACTGCCATATGAGCTCCTGAGCAGATGCCTCGGTATTGTTTGTAGTTTCACTTTGGTAGTAGTGATGGACAGCACCAACAATATTACCCACTGGTTTTCATGTATATCCAGCAGACGAGTCCCCATTAGGACAAAACGTGTGTCCTACATTCCACTGCTAATCATGGTTGCTACCAAACTGCAACTAGGCCAATAGACTCCGATTAATTCGGTCAAATTAGCGACAGGAAATTACAAGTGATAACATGAAAACTATGCCCGTCACGATTAGCTGCCGTGATTCACCGACCTAATGGGGACCCTTAGGAGTGTGAGGGGGTCGGCCATGGGTTAGAGTCTTAGCAGGAACAACACCACTCACTGGGTTACGAGTAAATCCAGCTGACGAGCCCCGAATAGGACGAGACCTCCAACCTGAATTCCACTGGCAGCCGTTATTTATCATTATCACCAATTTGAGATATTAGTTCTTCAATGATGACAACACATTTCACTAAAGTTTGTTCATGACGCTAAAGTTGTCATTATATTCGGCTAATTGATGTTTTACAGGTACCAGAGGATGAAGTGACCGTCAATACATTGCACAAAGAATCACATCCAACTACCACTTCACCGATGACACATTTCTCTTCATCGTCCACAGTCGATCCATCTCTGAATTTATTGAATCCCATAGCAGTGCCGTACAGTTTAAATCTCAACTGGGTTTCACCGATTATTACAGCTTTAACTTTGTCAGCTGGTTCTTCGATACTGAATCTAACCACAGAACTGTCCTCTAGTCAACCACAACCATCTTGTATCCCACAAATAGACACAAAAATAAGAGCTTCATCGTGTTTCCCACTTGGACGATCAAATACTGTATCGTTATTGTCATCTCCATTCCCTGCTTCAATCCATCAACCTCACCATTTAACTGAGATGCAGATAAACACAAATATTAATAATGACTGCATTGTTACAGCTGATGATGACGAAAAGCCATTGGATTTAACCTTGAAGTCAGTAATTTCAAAATCATCAGCAAGGTCATCTGAATTCATTAAAACAAAACAGGACAGTGAGAATCAGAAAACTTCATCTCGACGAAAATCAAACAAGAAACCTTCACAAGTGAAAATAACAACGAAATCAGGAACATCATGTTCACCAGAACAAGATATCAATATCACAGAACCCAAAGGTCAGCGGCTTGAGCCTGTTCATCATTCAAACAGTGATATAACTTCAAAGATAGACAAAAATGGTACAGAATTATACCAACAGTGGAAATTAGACATTCCAGATCTACTCAAAGTGAATGAATCTAATCAAAAACGACAAAAATCAAGCATAAATCGTAGACCATTCAAAGCATTCGGTAATACAATCCCATCAATATCCACAGAACTTTTATTGAAGTCATCTCAACTCATTGATCCAATATTATTAGGTAATAGTGTGGATGATACAACCAAAACTATTGAACACATTGAACAAAGAAATATCAAATTGACTTCTTCCTCTCCAACATCAACCAGTACTGATGTTATTACTACAACTAGTGATACCATCATCACTACCAGTAGTATAACATCAACTATAGCTAAAAATGAAGAACGTTCCAGAAGAAAATTAGTCAATAAAAGAAAAACACGCCGATCACAAAGTACATCAGCTGTTATTATCCCACTAATTGAAAATGAAAAGATACAAGAAACTTCTGAAAATTTATCTACAACAAAATCTTTAGAATGTTTGAATAAAATTGATTCATCTAAAGATGTATTAACTTCATCTATAACCTCAATATCATCTAGTTATCCTGAATTGATTCATATTAAAACTGTTCCTATTATAACAGATTGTAATCCACGTATGAGACGTTTCCCTGAGATGACACCAAAAGAAGTAAAAGATAAAGCCTATTGGGAGAAACGTGTAAAAAATAATGAAGCAGCAAGACGTTCACGTAGAGCTAGAAAATCTAAAGAATTATGCTTAAAAAAATATGCTGATAATTTAGAAAAAGTTAATATAAAATTAATTGAAGAAATTGAATTATTAAAAGCAGAGATAATACATTTAAAAGGTGAAAAATATACAGAAAAATTAAATTAAACAATAATTTTCACTTTCTTATTATTCACTCAGGTATAACACACATTTACTTTATTTTCTTTATTTTGTAAATAATTATAAACTTTTCTTATTAATGTTGTTGTTTAAATGAAATCATGTTGAACCATTGAACTATTGAACAAATCGTTATTCTAGTGTTCAATAGAAAAAAAAAGCTTTTCTTCTATTTTGTTTATTCATAAAATTATCCGAAAAAGAAAATGTCCAAGTTACCAAGACTGTAAGTTATTATTATTATTTGGTCCTTTAGGTTTCTAGTGGGACATAGGGCTTCAGTAGCACGTCTCTATTCCACTGTCTTCTCTGTAGTCTTCTTAACCTGGCTCGATGACTGCTGATAATCTTTCATTTTTTCCTCACATCATCTCCTCCATGTCACCCTCAGCTGGGATGCCCAACTCAGCGTTTCCCTTTTTGCATTCCACTCGACGGCCTGGCGCAGTGTATGCACAGTACAATCCATCTTCACTTTCTTCCTCAGCATATTTGTTGGGCAGTACGTTGTTGGTTGGTTAGTTGCTGGCCAGAGTTCCTTGTTGCTTATTCTTTCAACATTGTAAGTTAACTTATGAATAGTGATAAGTCGCTTTGAGTTCAATAGATGGATGGTTGGGAGCGATTTACTCAAAGTTGTGATTGTCACAAATCGCCATTTATGATGCCAAGGAAATTTGAGCTCATTTCATGTTAGTATTCATTATGGGGACTGACAGTTGGAATAACATTGGAAATCTGGGAGCACTGGACAGCCACTATTCCATCCTAGTATGGTACTCTGCATTAGTGTGCAACCATGATCCCGCCAGTGTTTGGACCCCCAACCCTCAAGTTCAGTGGCCATGAAATAAAACGAGCTTATTTTAATCTGAAAATATCCTTTGTTTTTACATTGTTCAAATTTGTCAAGGGAACTGAGTGTATGCCATTTCTCAAATAATCAAGTCGCTGAATCAGGTAGTAGCTTTATGTTCCAAATTGGTTAGAGACTTCACCAACGTTAGGTTTTATGATTGTTTGCACAGTGACTACTTTTCATGTCCTTTAATCAATGAAGCTTTACCCTTCTAGGGGGATTTACGTTGAATAACCAAATCGTATCTCAAAAAACGTCGAATACAAACATTTCCACATTGAAAACTCATTTATCCATGTTTGATAGTCTTCTCGATGAACTGAATATTTTTTGTCGCATACAATTCACTAATTTTGCACTCTCGTCACAAATCAATATATGTAAGCCAGCCATACAGGAGGTCATTCGCAACCCGAATAGCTCAGTGGTAAAAGTTGCTGACTACAATACTGGGTGACTTCGGTTCGAATCTCAGGTGGGACATCAGTTCCGTCCAGGTTGCAGATACACCTTGTTGACGAGTGCCAAGAAGCATGAAACCTAGGTCCAGGGTATTCTGCAGATTGCCTCCATGACCTACAGTCGAAGGAAGACATCTAGAAGCTGAGAGAATAAATTCATAAAATCCCTAGTGAGAGAGAAATTATATGAAAGATTTCCTGAAAATCAAAAGAACTATATATACAATCTCTCTAATACCATACAAAATAACACGGAAACTGAAGCTCTGTCTCTGTCTCATATCCTATTCCAACAGGTTAATCGAATTGATGCAAAAGCAAAACTTGAAATAGTGGAGAATATTTGTAGTTCACGTGGATGGTCTTGCTTGTATTGAGTTCTCTGAAATGGGTTGCTCAACCGTGAAGCTTTAATCATCTTCCTGGAAAGTGACATCATCAGCACTTCAACTTCAAAATGAAGTGGGCTGTCAATATCTCTCCATGAGTGATTTAGTAGCTTGTCTTGCCGGAGTGATCTGTGATTGGTTGATTGATTGATTCTCCTGTTGACTGTTCCCCTGCTTGACCCCCCACCTTTCTGTCATTTGTCATTTTCCTCATTGGTTGATAGATTGGGTCTATAGCTATAAATTTATTGATTGCTGACTGACTGACTGACCTGAATGTCAAGCTTCTAGAAATCCTCCGTGTTTCCTCTCTCTGTCCAACATTTCTAGACTGTTAAAATTGGATTCATGTCCATAGTTGTCATCCAAGTGGATTGAAATGAGTGATGAAATGTCATGTGTGACGTTTAATTGCCATGCAGACGAAGACGAAGAGGGTGAACACTTTGTCCAATGTAGCATTGACTACACTTATTCCAGTTGATTCTGTAAATGATATCCCGTTTGTTTTCTTTGGTTTTTGCATACTTTGGTCTGCATAATAGTGTTTGGAGGGAATTTGTTGCTTTATGAGCCACACCATCTCCAAGTGGTCTCAGTAATCTTGTCGTGATTTCTGATACATCCTTTATGTATGGTAGGATGATGAGTTTATTGATTTCTGTGGATGACTTTGTAGTTGATGATGTAGGGGATAGGCATCTTGTGATAAAGTTTCGTGGGTAGCTGTTCTTCTCGAGGGTGGATATCAAGTAATTTTCTTCGTCTCTACATGAAGTTGTTGTACTGCAGTGTGTTCTCGCTCTTTTGAATAGAGTCTGCACGCAACTGATCTTATGGGTTGTTGCTACTGTAGTTGAGGGAGGATTTGGTCAGTGTGTGTTGGCTTCCTGCACACTTGGGTTCCCAGCTTCCCGGCATTTATCCTACTGACTAGAACATCCAGGAATGGTGGTTGGTTGTTTGACTCCTTCTCCATTGTGAATTTGATGTCATTGAAAATGTTGTTGATCAAACTGTGAATGTTTTCTATATCATCTTTTTCTGTGATGACAAAAGTGTCGTCCACATAACGAATCCAAATTTTTGGTTTGATCAGAGGTAGAATAATGGCTTCCAGTCCCTGCATCCCTGCTTCTGCATTTAATCAGGATATCGGTGATCTCATTGGAGTTCCTTTCATCTGTTTGTATATCTTACCGTTGAATTGGAAGTATGTTGTTAGACAAAGGTCTTCATTGAGCAGGAAGGACATAGTTTCCTTGGCCAATTGGGGTTCGATGGGTGTGTATAGTACAGTGATAAACGATAGAAAGGTCAGAGGACAAGCAGATGAACAGCCAATAGGAAATTCTGTACAGTGAATGACACAACAATCAAAGGAAATAACCAATCACAGACCACTTCGTCAAAACAAGCTACTAAATCACTCATGGAGAGATGCTGACAGCTTACTTCATACTGAAGTTAGTGCTGATGATGTCACTTTCTAGAAAGACAATGAAAGCTTCACGATTAAACAACCAAGCTCCTCAAAGAACACAATACAACCAAGACATAATTTGAAAACTTGTACCCATAACTTTACGATTTGACATGGCCTATAGATGAGAATATAAGAAGCTGGTTTAAATCTAAGCTGGGTAATGCTGCCAATCTCCATACCACCAGTCAAAGATTCTGACCAGATAGATTGACGCTGAAAAACTTGCACAAGAATAACTACGGCTGATAAAGAGTTTGGTGTCATCATAATGAATAAAACAAAAATGACTACTTGCATAAAATGTCGATGATTTTAAGGGATTCATCAAGACTTAAAGTTGATACATTCCAAAAGGATGAAATCATTTCAATCAAAAATGACCTCGTTTTATTCTGTAAATGTCTTCGTTCTTACATTGTTCAAATTTACTTAGTGTTGGCTAACAATGAATATCAAGATGTTTGGGATTATTCAGTTGAATACGCTTGCATCACAGTGAGATACAAACACATTACTGAGTCACCTTTTGCATAGTTTCATGAAGTGATTTCTTTAAACAAACTCAATAAAATCTGATGAGTAGTTGGTTGCAGTGAGTAACTGCTAACTGACATCAGCATTCAGTGAGATGTAATGTCGTTTGAACTGGGTTAAAATACCACCTTCAAGTCTGTTGAAGAGGTGATAAGTCAATGGATAGATTCATAAATATTCAGCTTATTGGATGCTTGTATAGACTGTTCAATATTGCCCGTAATTAAATCTTTATGGTGATTAACAGTGTAAACGAGGATGTATACTTCGCCCTGTTTTGGACTTGGAACCTAGATATGTCTGTATACCATGGTTCAAATGGTTGTGGATGAAATACAAGAAGCTTTCGCTTAACTAGCTTCTGCGTCTACAATCCGTGGGTCACTACTCCTTGTGGTTGTTAATCTGTGTACAAGTAAAGAGGAAAAAGTGGAAGGTTAATATGAATAAATCTGTGTTACTGTGACTGATTTTTTAGCCATGCAACCAACACTTCTCAACTACTGATTCCTTTCGTCTTGTGGACCCCAAACAGGCAGTCTACATCTTCCTTCACGATTTAGAAGTACAGTTAGGGAGTTCATCGACTGGTGTCAAGTCTACTCTGATCTGACCACCCTAAACCCTATTCCAACAGAATCCAACTTCCCCTAGCATGACATACCCAGGTAGATGATGGTGCTTGGCATGAGCAAAACATGTCCGAGGCATGTCAATCAAATAAAATCCACAACCACTTCAATCGACTTGTCTACTACTCTTCACTTGACTTCGACATTACTGACACTGTGATTTCACCACACACATGAAGATATCTGTGATCGAAACTTTGTGACCGTTTCATATCGTCCACCTTTTACGGCCGTTTCTCACAGCTGTACAACAGGATAGAACGGACTGTAGTGAGATAATATTATAGCATGTTCATCTTCAGTTAGTTTTCTTTCAAAAACAGAAATTGATCACTTACTTCATTTCTGATACTTTCTTCATCCCACAGCGGACGAGCTAAATATTGTATTGTAAAGTTTTTATATTTTGCAATACGGATATAAACTCTAGAAGCAGTCTGGCAACTGTTCCGACACTATGGAATACCACAAACCTTTATCAACCTCATTCACCAGATACATGATAACACCACATGCCAAGTAATTCACAATGGGAAGCTCAGTGATGCTTTTGAAGTGAAAACAGGAGTAAAACCAGACTGTCTACTGTCAGCCATGATCTTCCCGATTGTGGTCGACTGGATG